CATTATCTTGGCAGACCTAACATAAAGACTGTCGACAACTTTCCCAATATTGGAAATGGTCTCTAGAGTTGCAGGGTATATAGCATCAGTCTTGGGATCGTCAAATATGACAAGGCATCCCGCACCTTGATCCAATGTTCCAGCAAACTTCTTGTCCAAAATCATCTGAGACAACTTTCGCTCCACATGATCAACGGGAAGTTCAATAAGTTCAGCAATATGTGCAATCTCAACCCTTGAGAAAGGTTCAATCAATCTGCAAAGATTCTGCTCCAGTAGGGTATCGTACAAGGATGAAAGGTGCCTGTGGACAATTGGGTCTTCCTCCAACTGTGCCTTGTAGTCCCGCAGAGCAATTTCAAACAACCTAAGGGACCGCTTAGAGTGTGCATCAGCAACAGCTTTCATAGCATCCAAGTCAGGCCCAAGATATTGCAGTCCTGCTTTAGAGGAAATAATTCCTCCCACGTCATCAGCTTGATTCACCATGATCTTACACAGCAACATATATTTCAGGCTAAATACAGCCTTGGGGTCATCAAGAGCATTGAATGATTCGAAAGCTTCAAAGAAATAGCTATAAGCAGTTTTATAATCCTTCTCCTCAGCATGAAGAATTCCACTCTGCAGATCTATGGCCCCTTGTTGAGCTGGAGGCACATAAATAGCATTTGCAGCTGTTCTTGCAGCCGTGAGAGCAGCTTTTGCCTTAGGAAGGTTTCTTAAGGAGAAATGCAGCTTGCTCTCCAGCAAGTCTATGTCAACCAGAAGAAGTTTGTCATCTAATCTCCTAACCTCTTTGACCAAGCCAGAGAGAAGAGTCAAAGCTTCAGAATACTCCTTATTTTCCATCAGAAGTGCTGCAAGTCTTGCCTCAACGCGTTGTCTCAGAAAGGTACGCTTCTCAGCACGAGTCCATTGCACCATTTCTTTACAGAGTGCAATTTGGAGATCAGACGTCCCAGGTATTTTAGCAACTGAGTCAATAATTCCCCTAACAATCTTTGCAGTTTTTGCCTTGGGTATCAAGGAGAAGAATGGCCTCAACTGAGTGAGAAGGCTGCGCAGATCCTCTCCCCTATTCTCTTCCGTGAGATGCTTAGTGAGGAGTGTGATTGCTTGCTCTTTCATACGCAGAGCATCTGGTGAAGAAGAAGGATCATCAAGTACCCGATAAAGAATGGAGATGGCCTCAGTTGGGCTTGCAGCCTCGTTTGCCAGAACAAGTGACTCAGTAGTGGCAGGAAGATAAGAGGAAGACATTGCTCCTGTTTTGAGAAACCCTTGCAAGAAAACATTAGTAAATGCAGAGGACCATTTAAAACTAGAAACGTTGCATTACTATCAATTAATTGGAGAGTGGAAATTATTATCTCATTATGTCGCCAGTCACTAAAAATTGGACAACAGTAAATAAATAAGAGACTACTTTCCTAAAGAAAAAAACTGATCACGTGAAGGGCAAGAGATGGCAAACTGATCAGGTTTTAATAATTTTACATTATTATATACTACTGAGTTTGGATCGATTGAATGTTTAGGTCCCATACACCTACGAGTTGGGTAAAAAAATTACCACCCTTCACTGTTGTTAAAATTGTTCACAGTAATTAAATAGATGTTTATTAGTGTTTGTTTTTTAGCACCTTAAGAAGAGAATACGGGAAAGGAATGAAAAGATTGATGCTGGATGAAGAACCTTGGATAACTGGATTACCTAAAAGACGCCATGGCATCAATATCAACATAAACCTTAATACTTCCAGATTGAAGCTCTAACCAATTCTTCCATAAAGAAAGACACTATTAACAACCATAATCAATAAAAGCTTAACTGAGGCTAAAAGCGCACTCTGTTAAGCGACGTATCTGACAAAGACGTTTCACCATTTATTTGTAACAAAAAGTATGAACAAAATAATCTACTCAATCACAAGATCATCTCCCCTTACTACCGCTAAGATTGATTCTCGGATCCCGCCGGTGTCTGCAACCAACTCTCCTGACTCACCACAAAAAGACTACGAAGATATTGATTATCAAAAGGGGGCCTTCGTAGCCCGCATGCAATAACTGATGCACAGAGTTCATGGCTACAATGACAACACTATCAATTCCATCCTATATCCTCTCTTTTCTATTATGTTTTATTCTCTTACTAAAGTGAAGGCAGAAGTAGTCAAATATCCTAAGGACGACACATCCTAACACCATGCCCCGAAAACTTCACCCTACAAAGTTTTCTGGGCCATCTCCCTCCTCACGAGTGTATACAATTTAAGAAAAAACAGTCACACGAAAGATCCAAAACCTATCAACTGGAAAATACAAGAAGTTTGAACAAATATTAACAGTGGCCAAACACAGACAATGAGTCCATGGTAGACAACAAAATTAATTGCAAAACCTCCAAGCAAAATTTACTAAACAGAATGTTAACCTACGGAGTGAAAAGGTAATTGAACAGTGTTGTTTGTCACAACCACAAACGAATGGGGGAGCTAACTCGTACACAGAGAAGCAGAAAATCAAATTTTTAGGCTTACATAAAATCGTGTTAAAAAATCGGCAAACAGAAGACGAATAAGCTATAATTGAAAGCAGTCAGATTTGAAAATCAAATCTCCAAAGGAAAAAGAGGGCATCAAGGAACAGAAACACGGTTACCTTATCGGGCAGCACTGTAGAATTCCTTCGCTGCAGAGGCGCAGTATGACAGAATTAGGGGGTTGCGAGGTTTGGTTAGGGAAAAAATTGAAGCGTGCAAACCCTAAGAGAGGGTAGAGGAGGAAAACACGAAGACGCAGGGAGGAAGCAATGTCGGTCACTGTACAAACTTTAAAACTTTAAATTCACCGTTGCGTAAGTGAGCAATTGGGCTTTACTAATACTAAGCCCGGAATATTGAAAGAAAAAAACAATAAACGACTCAGGTTAGATTTTTTTGCCGTTTTCATTTATTTAAAGTTTCAATTTGATTTTTGTTTCTAAAATTTACAATTAATAAAAAAGTATATAAATTCATCTAATCGTGAATTATTATTTTTCTTACCAGGATCTTGAAGATCTAAATTTTATACGTGAGAGTGAATCTTTATTATGAAGTCAGTATTTTTTGAAAAATATTGATTCTATTAACGTGGATCATGAATTTATATTTTTATTAGAATAATATTATTTAGAATATAATAAATAGTAATAAAATGATAAATAATATCATATTAAATTATGAAGATTTATTTATAAGATGAGAATATGATTGAAATAGATATAAGTTAGATTATTTTATAATAAATAGATTTAAAGAGTCTTATTAGACTGTATTATTTTATTGGGCCACATAAAAAAAATTATATATGATAAAACCATTAATTTTTATTTTTTTTTATAAAAAATTAGATAGGGATTGATGTTAGTTCTCATGAAATATCAAATTGTATGGGCTCTATTAACCTTGTTTGTTAAATATTAATACTTTCTCTTTCTGCACCCCTATAATTATTTTCAGTACTCCCCAGTCCATTGTTTTACTCTGCGGTGGTGATGATTTTGGCTTCTGGTCGTTCAAGGTTTTCAAGTTACTTGTGTGGTAAGTCTTACGTAATATTTTTCAAATTATTTTTTATTTATCATTACACAATTTAGAATTAATTTGAATTGGAAAATATAAAATATTAATTTGAGAATGTATGATATTTTAAATTGAAAGTCCACCTAGATTATACAATTTAGATTAATTTTTTTTTAAAATTTGGGATTGGATGATTCAGAAAATTTCAGATCATTTAATTTGAAAATAAATAAATGAATTTTAGATTTCACATTCCATAATATATTTTGACCGATCAAATCGAAAATCTATAGTTTATCTTATGAAATTTTCAATTTAACAGATTATCTTTACGCTTTCAAATTATTGTTTCGAATTTTTTTTAAAAAAAATGTATATTTAACTATTTTTTTAAAATTTAAATTAAAAATAATTACTAGTGAAACAAATATTAACTATTAAAAAGGTTATTTAGAACTTAATTTATATTTATAATTACGTAATTAAAAAGAATTTTAGAGAGATTATTCTTTTACGACTTGCTACAACTTATTTGAATTTTTTTTAGAAAAACTACATTCATTTATATTAATATTATATTATGTAATTTTATTTGCATTATTCGTAAAGATATCAATGTGCCTATTATTACTATTATGCAAGTCAAAATTGAAAAAGATTGGAATCATATTATTTATCATGTCAAACCAGTAAATCACTATATTTATAGACTTATAAAGTTAATTACTATATATTAAACCTAATGAAAATATAATAAATATACTGTATCAAAATATTTTTAAAAAATCTATATTAACCTATCATTGTGTATTATTTCATGAATACAAAACTATTAAAGTATCTCCATGCATAATATTCTGTTAGTATTTATAATAGCTTTTACACTTCGTAATTTGCTAATTTAGAATATCTTTTGAGTTATAAATGTGTTTTAGTGACGAACGACATTGGTTATGCTCAAGTCATTATTTTATAAATTGACTAGAAAGTGGCCCTATACGAATTATCGAATAAGAATCATGAGTTAATGTAAGTCTGAGATAGTCATGAAAATAAACTAATATTATAAAAAAAAATACACGATGACAATTATTACTATAATTATTCGAACTGTAGTATCTACGTTAATTAGATTTTAAATCATCATTAAAAATTATATAATAATGATTGTAACTCTTGCTTTAAGGATGATCTCAAGATTTTTAGTTTCTTGAATTAATATTACAACATGGATAGGCTTAAATATACGTCTCTTAACAGACTTTAAATTTAATTTAATCTCTAATAAGTTTGATTATCATTTATATTTTTTAAATTGGTCTAATCTTATATGGAACTTCCAACAAAAATGCATTAGTGCTTGATTTTGCATAAAGCTGAAAGTAAATGAAAATCCACGTTATTGAACACAGCAATTATAGATGATTTTCATTTTCTAAACCCAGGTTATTGAACACAGTAAGATCCTTTCTGATACCATCTCGAACTCTTACATTATAATATAAAGACAAAGTTGAAATCTGACTTAACTGATCAGTGATGATTTTTACATTAGATTAGGTCATACAAAATGTGTATTTTGATTTACGTGCAACTTATCCTTGGCAGTAACGACAAAGTCAAGATTGTAAAGCACAGGAACCATAGTGAGAGAGCACAAGAAGACCAAGACAGGACCAAAGATCCAAAGCAGAAGAGGAAGAGCAGCGTAGAAGAGTCTGTTTCCAACAGTGTTAAGAAGGAAGCCTTTCTCCAAGATCTGATGAACATATTCAGGGCTGACCAAGGACAAGGGGTCCTGTGGGGTGTTGATAAGGATGTTGACTTGGTTGATGAACCTTATGGACAAGGAGTGGCAGAAGAATGAGAAGAGGAAAATGGAGAGCAAAGTGACATATTTGAGTGATACCATGAACTCTCCATGACCCCCATAAACTGTGTCCTCAAGTGGCTTTTTCACACTGTAGGTGCTGCTTATGATTGCTGCTAAGCCCGAGCATAGCAGAATAGAGGTTGTGGCCATTAGGGTCGCACCCATGATTGTGTTCCTCAGTGATTGAACAGCTAGGATGTTTTTTTTGTCGTTGTCCTGCAAAAAGTTCATCATTCTTGAATTATTGTCATGCGTCTGCTCANAAAATTTTGGAAGGTAAAAGACAAATAATTTGACAAAGAGCTGAATTATACATTTTACTTACAAAAAACTTGACTATTTCTTGTAATTTCACCTTAGAAATAAAATATAATAGAGAAGAAGATAAAGAAAGCATAAGGAGATAAAGGTGGTCCGAGTCCTAAAAAATATTGAAACCCACTTTATAGAATAGCTTTAGAAGTTAAAAAATGTAACAAATAATAGAAATTTTATAGCAAACTATAATTTTATAATGGTATAGGAGCATATAGACAACAATCGATAATTTCCTCTTTTCTTTCATGCTGTCGAACCCACCACGGAAATTGCTCGTATTGTATATGCATGAAACTAACACAAGTCATGTGAGCATAGCATACCAATACCTAATGATTCTAACAATCATCCCAGTTCATGCTGGTTAAAGACTCAATAATCTAGCAGCACACATGTATTTTTATGATGACAAAGGTTAGGCAAGTGGCAATGACCACCAAAGCCCTTTAAACGTTCGGAGCCACCGGGAGGGGTTTCCCACAATTGAGTTTAATAACAAAATAAAACGAAACAAATGATAAGTTAGTCACCACTAATAAGAAGAAAACGGCAACAAAATGTGACAAGGGAATAAAATACCAGATAGCTCATGCCATTATCTTGGCAGACCTAACATAAAGACTGTCGACAACTTTCCCAATATTGGAAATGGTCTCTAGAGTTGCAGGGTATATAGCATCAGTCTTGGGATCGTCAAATATGACAAGGCATCCCGCACCTTGATCCAATGTTCCAGCAAACTTCTTGTCCAAAATCATCTGAGACAACTTTCGCTCCACATGATCAACGGGAAGTTCAATAAGTTCAGCAATATGTGCAATCTCAACCCTTGAGAAAGGTTCAATCAATCTGCAAAGATTCTGCTCCAGTAGGGTATCGTACAAGGATGAAAGGTGCCTGTGGACAATTGGGTCTTCCTCCAACTGTGCCTTGTAGTCCCGCAGAGCAATTTCAAACAACCTAAGGGACCGCTTAGAGTGTGCATCAGCAACAGCTTTCATAGCATCCAAGTCAGGCCCAAGATATTGCAGTCCTGCTTTAGAGGAAATAATTCCTCCCACGTCATCAGCTTGATTCACCATGATCTTACACAGCAACATATATTTCAGGCTAAATACAGCCTTGGGGTCATCAAGAGCATTGAATGATTCGAAAGCTTCAAAGAAATAGCTATAAGCAGTTTTATAATCCTTCTCCTCAGCATGAAGAATTCCACTCTGCAGATCTATGGCCCCTTGTTGAGCTGGAGGCACATAAATAGCATTTGCAGCTGTTCTTGCAGCCGTGAGAGCAGCTTTTGCCTTAGGAAGGTTTCTTAAGGAGAAATGCAGCTTGCTCTCCAGCAAGTCTATGTCAACCAGAAGAAGTTTGTCATCTAATCTCCTAACCTCTTTGACCAAGCCAGAGAGAAGAGTCAAAGCTTCAGAATACTCCTTATTTTCCATCAGAAGTGCTGCAAGTCTTGCCTCAACGCGTTGTCTCAGAAAGGTACGCTTCTCAGCACGAGTCCATTGCACCATTTCTTTACAGAGTGCAATTTGGAGATCAGACGTCCCAGGTATTTTAGCAACTGAGTCAATAATTCCCCTAACAATCTTTGCAGTTTTTGCCTTGGGTATCAAGGAGAAGAATGGCCTCAACTGAGTGAGAAGGCTGCGCAGATCCTCTCCCCTATTCTCTTCCGTGAGATGCTTAGTGAGGAGTGTGATTGCTTGCTCTTTCATACGCAGAGCATCTGGTGAAGAAGAAGGATCATCAAGTACCCGATAAAGAATGGAGATGGCCTCAGTTGGGCTTGCAGCCTCGTTTGCCAGAACAAGTGACTCAGTAGTGGCAGGAAGATAAGAGGAAGACATTGCTCCTGTTTTGAGAAACCCTTGCAAGAAAACATTAGTAAATGCAGAGGACCATTTAAAACTAGAAACGTTGCATTACTATCAATTAATTGGAGAGTGGAAATTATTATCTCATTATGTCGCCAGTCACTAAAAATTGGACAACAGTAAATAAATAAGAGACTACTTTCCTAAAGAAAAAAACTGATCACGTGAAGGGCAAGAGATGGCAAACTGATCAGGTTTTAATAATTTTACATTATTATATACTACTGAGTTTGGATCGATTGAATGTTTAGGTCCCATACACCTACGAGTTGGGTAAAAAAATTACCACCCTTCACTGTTGTTAAAATTGTTCACAGTAATTAAATAGATGTTTATTAGTGTTTGTTTTTTAGCACCTTAAGAAGAGAATACGGGAAAGGAATGAAAAGATTGATGCTGGATGAAGAACCTTGGATAACTGGATTACCTAAAAGACGCCATGGCATCAATATCAACATAAACCTTAATACTTCCAGATTGAAGCTCTAACCAATTCTTCCATAAAGAAAGACACTATTAACAACCATAATCAATAAAAGCTTAACTGAGGCTAAAAGCGCACTCTGTTAAGCGACGTATCTGACAAAGACGTTTCACCATTTATTTGTAACAAAAAGTATGAACAAAATAATCTACTCAATCACAAGATCATCTCCCCTTACTACCGCTAAGATTGATTCTCGGATCCCGCCGGTGTCTGCAACCAACTCTCCTGACTCACCACAAAAAGACTACGAAGATATTGATTATCAAAAGGGGGCCTTCGTAGCCCGCATGCAATAACTGATGCACAGAGTTCATGGCTACAATGAAAACACTATCAATTCCATCCTACATCCTCTCTTTTCTATTATGTTTTATTCTCTTACTAAAGTGAAGGCAGAAGTAGTCAAATATCCTAAGGACGACACATCCTAACACCATGCCCCGAAAACTTCACCCTACAAAGTTTTCTGGGCCATCTCCCTCCTCACGAGTGTATACAATTTAAGAAAAAACAGTCACACGAAAGATCCAAAACCTATCAACTGGAAAATACAAGAAGTTTGAACAAATATTAACAGTGGCCAAACACAGACAATGAGTCCATGGTAGACAACAAAATTAATTGCAAAACCTCCAAGCAAAATTTACTAAACAGAATGTTAACCTACGGAGTGAAAAGGTAATTGAACAGTGTTGTTTGTCACAACCACAAACGAATGGGGGAGCTAACTCGTACACAGAGAAGCAGAAAATCAAATTTTTAGGCTTACATAAAATCGTGTTAAAAAATCGGCAAACAGAAGACGAATAAGCTATAATTGAAAGCAGTCAGATTTGAAAATCAAATCTCCAAAGGAAAAAGAGGGCATCAAGGAACAGAAACACGGTTACCTTATCGGGCAGCACTGTAGAATTCCTTCGCTGCAGAGGCGCAGTATGACAGAATTAGGGGGTTGCGAGGTTTGGTTAGGGAAAAAATTGAAGCGTGCAAACCCTAAGAGAGGGTAGAGGAGGAAAACACGAAGACGCAGGGAGGAAGCAATGTCGGTCACTGTACAAACTTTAAAACTTTAAATTCACCGTTGCGTAAGTGAGCAATTGGGCTTTACTAATACTAAGCCCGGAATATTGAAAGAAAAAAACAATAAACGACTCAGGTTAGATTTTTTTGCCGTTTTCATTTATTTAAAGTTTCAATTTGATTTTTGTTTCTAAAATTTACAATTAATAAAAAAGTATATAAATTCATCTAATCGTGAATTATTATTTTTCTTACCAGGATCTTGAAGATCTAAATTTTATACGTGAGAGTGAATCTTTATTATGAAGTCAATATTTTTTGAAAAATATTGATTCTATTAACGTGGATCATGAATTTATATTTTTATTAGAATAATATTATTTAGAATATAATAAATAGTAATAAAATGATAAATAATATCATATTAAATTATGAAGATTTATTTATAAGATGAGAATATGATTGAAATAGATATAAGTTAGATTATTTTATAATAAATAGATTTAAAGAGTCTTATTAGACTGTATTATTTTATTGGGCCACATAAAAAAAATTATATATGATAAAACCATTAATTTTTATTTTTTTTTATAAAAAATTAGATAGGGATTGATGTTAGTTCTCATGAAATATCAAATTGTATGGGCTCTATTAACCTTGTTTGTTAAATATTAATACTTTCTCTTTCTGCACCCCTATAATTATTTTCAGTACTCCCCAGTCCATTGTTTTACTCTGCGGTGGTGATGATTTTGGCTTCTGGTCGTTCAAGGTTTTCAAGTTACTTGTGTGGTAAGTCTTACGTAATATTTTTCAAATTATTTTAATGACTTTTTTTATTTATCATTACACAATTTAGAATTAATTTGAATTGGAAAATATAAAATATTAATTTGAGAATGTATGATATTTTAAATTGAAAGTCCACCTAGATTATACAATTTAGATTAATTTTTTTTTAAAATTTGGGATTGGATGATTCAGAAAATTTCAGATCATTTAATTTGAAAATAAATAAATGAATTTTAGATTTCACATTCCATAATATATTTTGACCGATCAAATCGAAAATCTATAGTTTATCTTATGAAATTTTCAATTTAACAGATTATCTTTACGCTTTCAAATTATTGTTTCGAATTTTTTTTAAAAAAAATGTATATTTAACTATTTTTTTAAAATTTAAATTAAAAATAATTACTAGTGAAACAAATATTAACTATTAAAAAGGTTATTTAGAACTTAATTTATATTTATAATTACGTAATTAAAAAGAATTTTAGAGAGATTATTCTTTTACGACTTGCTACAACTTATTTGAATTTTTTTTAGAAAAACTACATTCATTTATATTAATATTATATTATGTAATTTTATTTGCATTATTCGTAAAGATATCAATGTGCCTATTATTACTATTATGCAAGTCAAAATTGAAAAAGATTGGAATCATATTATTTATCATGTCAAACCAGTAAATCACTATATTTATAGACTTATAAAGTTAATTACTATATATTAAACCTAATGAAAATATAATAAATATACTGTATCAAAATATTTTTAAAAAATCTATATTAACCTATCATTGTGTATTATTTCATGAATACAAAACTATTAAAGTATCTCCATGCATAATATTCTGTTAGTATTTATAATAGCTTTTACACTTCGTAATTTGCTAATTTAGAATATCTTTTGAGTTATAAATGTGTTTTAGTGACGAACGACATTGGTTGCTCAAGTCATTATTTTATAAATTGACTAGAAAGTGGCCCTATACGAATTATCGAATAAGAATCATAAGTTAATGTAAGTCTGAGATAGTCATGAAAATAAACTAATATTATAAAAAAAAATACACGATGACAATTATTACTATAATTATTTCGAACTGTAGTATCTACGTTAATTAGATTTTAAATCATCATAAAAAATTATATAATAATGATTGTAACTCTTGCTTTAAGGATGATCTCAAGATTTTTAGTTTCTTGAATTAATATTACAACATGGATAGGCTTAAATATACGTCTCTTAACAGACTTTAAATTTAATTTAATCTCTAATAAGTTTGATTATCATTTATATTTTTTAAATTGGTCTAATCTTATATGGAACTTCCAACAAAAATGAATTAGTGCATGATTTTGCATAAAGCTGAAAGTAAATGAAAATCCACGTTATTGAACACAGCAATTATAGATGATTTTCATTTTCTAAACCCAGGTTATTGAACACAGTAAGATCATTTCTGATACCATCTCGAACTCTTACATTATAATATAAAGACAAAGTTGAAATCTGACTTAAATGATCAGTGATGATTTTTACATTAGATTAGGTCATACAAAATGTGTATTTTGATTTACGTGCAACTTATCCTTGGCAGTAACGACAAAGTCAAGATTGTAAAGCACAGGAACCATAGTGAGAGAGCACAAGAAGACCAAGACAGGACCAAAGATCCAAAGCAGAAGAGGAAGAGCAGCGTAGAAGAGTCTGTTTCCAACAGTGTTAAGAAGGAAGCCTTTCTCCAAGATCTGATGAACATATTCAGGGCTGACCAAGGACAAGGGGTCCTGTGGGGTGTTGATAAGGATGTTGACTTGGTTGATGAACCTTATGGACAAGGAGTGGCAGAAGAATGAGAAGAGGAAAATGGAGAGCAAAGTGACATATTTGAGTGATACCATGAACTCTCCATGACCCCCATAAACTGTGTCCTCAAGTGGCTTTTTCACACTGTAGGTGCTGCTTATGATTGCTGCTAAGCCCGAGCATAGCAGAATAGAGGTTGTGGCCATTAGGGTCGCACCCATGATTGTGTTCCTCAGTGATTGAACAGCTAGGATGTTTTTTTTGTCGTTGTCCTGCAAAAAGTTCATCATTCTTGAATTATTGTCATGCGTCTGCTCATTCTTTTTCCAATCTATTGCCTCACCATTGAATTCAGTGTACCATAAAACTAGTGGAACAAAACATTGAGTAATGAAAAGTGCAACGCTAGACATGCACTTCTTCATGCAGTACAATGAGTTGTCCACATTCGATTAATCGTAGGATACTTGACAAAACTTTCATAGAGATAATCTTCTTTATTTGCTGCACTTGTAATATTATTAGGGGATAATGATTAGTTAACACAGATATTTTTATAATATTTTAATACAATGTGTTATTTTCTTATTTAGAATTCATAATAACAAATAAATAATAAATCTATAAAAAATATGTCAAAATATTATAAAAAAAGTTTATATTAAAATACTTTTTTATATTAAGGGACATAATCCTATTGGTGATAACCATTAAAGTTGCCACAACACGTTAAAACTGGAATATACTGAAGAAACTAGAACTCAAGTGAATATACACATAGGATTCCTACAAAGTTACACAAGAAACCATTTTTAAATAGATACCTCTGAAATTTTTTGAGTAGATTGATACAAACAAACACAAGACGAAATAGTTTATAAAACTCCAAATAAGGGTAAATTTGAATACAAAAGCTAAAATGAAGAAGTGTGACAGATTTGAACTGTCATAAGTCTCGTTTTCTTTTTCAATATATTATTAACATGTAGATTTGCATGCACATTATCAACGTCTCGTTCCAACCATTTTGCATTGCGTGAATAAGAACAATCCTTTTGTTTTCTAGTATAAAAAACTATAAAGTTAAGAAAAATCTAAGGGTGAGGAAGGAAAATGGTGTTTAGGAAAACAAAATACTTTCAGTTTTTCATCGCTCCATTGGAAGGGAAGATGCTAATATATATATATATATATATATACCAGTTTGGTAACCTGCTAAAAAGAACGTTCATCAAGTGCTATAAGAAGTACATATGATTTTAGATAATGTTTCACATATTTAGTTTTACATTGAAGAAGATGATGCTAGATCCATATTGGTTCTGGTTTAAAACAAGTTGAGATGATTTTTGTTTTACATATCTTTATCCAAATTTTGGAGAGGTGGAAGTAAATTAAGATACCTTCATTATGGTAGCAACCCAATTGCGTCTGCCAGTAGCATTGATGCCAATGATAGTTGTGTGTGGCTGAGTTCGAACAGTGTGCCAGAGCCAGAAATGGTAACCAATGCTCATAAGAAATCCTAAGGGCACCAATATCACATCCAAATAACACTTCTTCCATTCCATGTCACTTGGCTTCTAAAAACTTAGCTATCTTGAAGAGAAATCGCTCTCAACTCAACTTTCGTATATTAATTTCCTTCTTCTCTGACAGTGGCAAACATGGTTTATATACAGATAAAGCAAGGATGAATGTGGACTTATTTGAAACTCAATTCAATCTGTACCTGAGTTCAAAAAGAAGAACCCTACTTTTCTCATTAATTTACAAGCATTAGCCTAATATATATATATATTACATGTGGGGTTCTTTTGAACAGCTTTTAGCACCCATTACATGTGTTTTTCTTTGCTTTTTCTATCTTCCAATTAGCTACTCCCATTTTCTACTTGCCTACTTGTTATATATATATATATATGGAAATGTCTAAAAAACTTCTTTTAACATTGTGTTTGATTTTGATGTATTCATGAACTTTCAATTTGCACATCAATTATAGCTTTTAGGATTAGTGATATATAAACTTGATTGATAACAATGTATTTAAGAAATTCTAAACAGTCAGAATTTACTTTTTTTTATGAAAGACTAGATTGATTTTTTTTTTCAATCAAGTGACGTGGTTTGAAAATAAAAAAATCGAGACAAACTAAAATTTATTTTATTGAAATATAATATTATATATTTAAAGTTAATCATATATATAGAACAGATTTTGAAAGTTTTTTATGATTTAATAATATATATATATATATATATATACACACACATATAAAGAGAATTTTTTTTCGGTTTCCAAATTTATTTTTTAATTTTATTCTTTAAATAAAAGTTGTTTTAAATTAAAGAAATTATTTCACTTATTATATCTTTTAATTAAGTAACCGTATCCTTAAATTTAATATTATTTTATTTGATTGTTTTTAATATTTTTAATTAAAACATTATTTAAAAAATAAATAAAAATTATTTACAATAAATTATACAAATAATTTATATTTAATTTTATAATGTAATAATAATAATTATTATTTTATTATTTTTATTATCATAAAATAATAACACACTTGCGCGGATGCGTTTCGCTAATATTTATAATTTATTTATATCCACCATCATAACAATTTATATTATAGTTTTAATTGTATGTGATTTATTTATGAATATACGAAAAGAATAATTATTATACCAATAATCATGTAATAAAAATTATAACAAATATTTTAAAACAAATTTATATGATAAATTTAAAAGAAAATAATAATTACCATAAAAATATTTCTAGATAAAAAAATTTACAAAATCACTTCAAAGAAAATTGTAAAACATTATATTAAATAAGAAATCGAACCAAATCAAAACTGTATTTGATTTTACGTTAGCTTTAAGCCACTTTTTTAATATATTTAACTAAATTGAGATGCAAATACCTATGAAAAATTGAAAAGAAAAATACACCACAAAATATTAAATAATGATGTAAATCTAAATTTAAGGGTGCTTTTTGCTGACATTTGCTAAAATTACAAAAAAAAATCTTATTGGCACATAATTTTCGAGATATTTTCAACCTTAAAGCTGACAAATTAAACCAAGGTATTTTTATGCATGCATTACCAATGAAAAATTGCAATGACTGTATAAGTAATTGTTAAATACCAATATTTAAAAATATAATAATTGGATGTATATTTGTGTGAGAAGTAATTTTAATACGGTTAGTTGTATTTATTATTTGCATTTAAGTAAACAAAAATAATAATAACGAAAAACGTTGATTATATACATAACTGTAACATGAATTAAAATGTTCATTTATCAAACTTTTTCAACCTTGTGTCATGTTGCTTATCAAATGTTATTCCACCGTTTATATTAGTGTCAAACTTTCACAACTTATATCTTGATTCTTATAAAATAATATTTTATTATATATGATAATCATAAATTTTTTAAAAGTATGAAACTTTCACAACCTTATATGTCTTGTTTGCCTATCAAATAATATTTTAGTATCGCACGCATATTTTGAAGTGTCAAATTCTCAACCTTGTATATGTTTAAATAAATAATAATTTATTATCACACTGTTCTGAAAAAGTGTAAGACAATCACATATTAAATAACAATTTTCACCACTAAGAAAAATAAAATTTATAATAGAGTTTATATTCTCAAGAAAGAAAAAATTGTGTTATATTCCAATATAATTGTAGTTTTCTTTACCTTAGTTAATATAATTGTGTTAATATAATTTTTGGTTTAATAGTTATTTAAATAAAAATATAAATTTTTATTTTTTATATTTAATGAATAATCTCTAATTTGAATGAAAAAAAATAAAAAAAAAGAAAAAAAAAAAAAGAATTAAAATAAAAAAAAAAGAGTTGGAAAAAAGGAATGAGAAATTTGTTAAAATATAAGAGAAGTGATAAGGTTTGATAGAAAGAAGGAAAGTGAAATTGTGACAAAGCGCATTTGATTATTGAGGAGAGAAATAGGAGATAAGGAAAGGGCCACTGTCAAGTGAAGTGGGCCCAAATTGGGCCCAATGTCCAACACCATTATTCACTCATCTCATGCGAGACTGGCTAATCATAAGTGCGTTCTCTATAATATACGCAATCCACTCAAACAAACGCTCTTTCGCGGTTAAGTTCAACACAACCGTTTCCTTCACTAATTCCTTTCTTTCTATGTCTATCACTAATCTATTTTAAAACCACTACTTTTTCTATTAATTCAATTTAAATGTTATTATATTACGCTACATGACATGCTCAATAAGTTATAGCTTTCCGTATCTAGTTAGCTAGTAATCATTTCCAGACTTTGAAAAAGGTAGTCAAAGAGAAAACAAAGCAAGTTAAAGGGTAGGACCTATGAAAAAAAAGAGGACGTATACGTTGTTACACAATGAAGGCTCAGTTTCCAACATTCATGACTAAATCAATTATAGTTTTGCTGTTATTCATAATCAAACTAATTAATCATTTTCCAACCATAGTTTTTAAAATTTGTCACACTACTTAGTTAGAAACAATGACAAGTTTGTTTTTGGTTTTTCTGAATTAAGTATTGAGTTAAAATGTATTGGTGAACAGAGAGAGAACTATATTTGAGAAGCTTTACTTCTCTTATGATTAGTTTATAAGAAGAAATCCTTCTTTTTCTTTTTTGGTAAGCAAAAAATGAAAGTTTGCATATGGAGAATCTAAACAGAAAAAAGTAAAATTTGACAAGAGGACAGTGTGATGTGAATGATTTTTAAAGACATTGTTGTCTATGGGAAGGCTATGTTAGAGGGAATGAAACCCTTATAAGAGAAAAAGAAGTTGGGTACGTAGTATTATTTTGTCACCCAATAAATTTATATCTATTATTTTACCTTTCAATAATTCTCTGTCTTTATAATTACAAAAGTTAATTTTTTTTAATAATCAAAATAGATTTTCAAGTGGTATAATATAATGTAAAAAAATGTTTTTTCAAAGATTTTAATTTATTGAAAATTTTAAGTTTTTTTTTTTGTATATTATTCACCAATTGAAAAAAAAAAAAAAAGATACACTACTACCTAAGGGTGCTATGGGATGGGAAGTGGGTGGAACAACAAACCTTTGCAATTAGTGGAGACTTGATGTCCAACTTTTGACACCACTGTTCCAAACCCAAGAGACAAAACAAAGCTACCCTAAAATCCTTTTTCTTACTTACCTCAATCAAAAATCTAGGATTGAACATTTAGAAACAACTCATTTTGATTTGAAACATAATGTATATCCTTGATATCTTTTTATCAATCTCTTTTTATATTTAATAATACGAACTTCAAGATTTTTCCAGTACTAAAATAGTATGTATTTAATAATTATAATTATTAAAATATGTTTATACTATTCTAAAAAACAATTTTGGGCATTAATTTTGATTAAGGTTGTCCAACATGGTAACAGTTGGAGGCAAGTGGGATTGCAAATAGAATAACCCATTAATAGAATATGCTTGGACGATGCCTGGGCACAATGATAGTTTGTGTGAACTGAAAAAAACACTGAAAAAAAAA